ACACAGCTAATATACACTGGAAATGGATGCTTTGATATGAGGTCAGGTGTTAGTTTAAACAGTATTTGATCCTGAACTTGACTTCATATGATAAATTAATAAAGATTATCAGGGTGCACCTATAAACAGACTTAACAAATATCGGCTTTCTTCATGTACAAAACTTCATATACAGACATCCTCACCTTCCCAGAATGATCATGTCAATAAAATGTCAGGGCATTTAACGAAAATGTAGGTAAAGTTCACTGCAATATCTAGAAAATGTGCAAAAATATTTAGAGAATACCTCCAAGCTAAAAGGAAGATCTGTCCTGAGTCAATAATTGTTGTGACTTACGTTATTTCATGTGGTACGTACAATCATTAGTTATACAGTGAGGTTTTATTCTCTAAAGATACCTACAGTATTTTTGTTGTATCTGCATTACCTTACATTGGCTTTAGGTCTTTTCACAAACTACGAAATCTGTGGGAGAATCGATATAATGCTGACGGAGAATAACTGAGAATATTATTACCTACTTTTGTGCCCTAATGGGTAATAAAACAGAGGAGGTCTTGATATCAGTCTTCTTGAATATGGATTGTGAGTCAGCATTGAACGTTAGATGTGTGCAGTCCGTAGGCTTCACGCAATAATATAAACACTTCTTAACAGTTAGTTTCTTGCAAGCCATTGTAACATTTCTTTTCAAATCTGAACCATTAGTGAAATCAATTGCCCTAATCACCTGCAAACTGGGAGCAGGTATTGTAGCGGTACTGGGGTGTAGGGGTAGTGGCGTGTAGGGGCTATGGGGTACAACCCCTATTGTGAGAGAGCGGCTCCGAGTTTGCAGGTGCTCTGACTCAATACCACTTGGAGTTGACCTGTTTGATACCATGTAGACATATTGATAGTGTTAATCATACAGAAGCCCAGATTGGTCACAGATGATGTATAAATTCAATAGCAGTCATTGTTATATGTTGATATGTGGGAATAACGTGTGGTTTATATTTTAACAGCTACTAACATAGTTGATTAAGTCTGTGAACATGTGGTACATATTGATAAAACTAGGCATTGTTTCTATAATTTCTTCAATAAAGACAAGAAGCTTTTATGGATGACAATTTCTTTGTTACATATAATGCGACATTTTGGTATAGGTTCTTATACTGTTGTCAAGAAGGAGGTTAATCGTGTTAATAATCTGTTATGAATGAAACATTGCATCATATGTTATAAAGAACTTGACTTCCATAAAACCATTTGTCTTTATTTTTACTATTCAATTTGTGAAATGCCTGTCAAACAGATTATAATTTGTTTCAGTTGTTTTTTTGAATTTTGAAAATCGTTTGAATTAAATCACATATATTTTGGTTAAAAAAATGATTTTATTCATGTTATGAATTTAACTTTAATATTGTTAACAATTTGTTGTGGACTGCTAGAAACTTTTGAGGATACTTGTCAGATATTCAGTTAAAATGTAAGGTTTCAAATTTGAAATTTAGCATGGTTAAATCTACAGGTGTTTAGGGTGTACATTGGGGCTGCAACAAATCCACGTTGAGTCAAATCAGTGTGCGAAATAGCCCCTGGCCCGTTAGCCCGTGGCAAGTAAAAGTCCAGTCGGGCCAGTAAAATACCACAGTCACTGGCCCGATTGTCTTGTGAATTTTCATGTAGTCATTTTGGAAATATATTACTCTCTCCGACCTGTGAAGTTGTAATACACTTTAAATCATGCAAGATTGTGGCCTGATAAAAATGTTCATCATATTAGCAGCTTAATGATGAAACACATGTCATGCCAACAATATCCTGTTCTCATCTATTTTTATAATCTTTTGCTTAGTTTCTGCATTCAAATTTTGGGCTATTGAATTATTTTGTGGGTTAGTAACTTTCAGGCATAGCTAGCCCGACTGGCTAGCAACATTTTGAAACTATTTCGCACACTGAGTCAAATATGATACATATAAAAAATATTGGGAAATGAATACGAATATTGGAAAATGATTATAATAACAACTTGGCAGTTGATGTATTATTCATTTTAATCATTTAAACACAAGTAAAATTTATTCTTTGACATGATTTGACTGGGATGACAGTGATCGCCGGGAAACATGTGCACAGCTGATTGCTATTTCCTGGCTCAGATACACATGGTAATCTTAATCCCTGCAAATAATACAATGCCCAGCAAAAAACAACTTTGAACTTAAAATGTAAATAATATTGTCTAGTGATGTTTAATTGCAAATTTGACGTCTCTACTGACAAAGTCGTCTTCTGTTGTTTGTTCACGCGAAGTGATACGATGTTGTTTTCTTACCCCTGGAAAAAATTGACGAAAGCGTAACCCATGGATAAGACAACCCCCTTCTAAAGACTGCTAAGTTTTTGGTCCTCAAAATTTGGCTTATAGACGGTAATATACAGTACTTCATCAAGATAATGACCAGTGACCACGTCACTGTCAAATTAAATATGTAACAGTGTTGACTACTATCCTGCCTGGGTTGGCTATATTCCATGTTGCATTTATTGCTGTGGTAAATAGCACCCAAGTTCACGTAAAAACACTCCTTTAAAAAAAATATATACAATGAATATTCAATTCTAATAATCATGAATAATGAATTGAATTTATTCAACTTTTTGGTTTGATTCACCGCAGATAAAATAATATATTAGAATGGCTGCTGTCAATGTTGTGTCACATTTTTTAATTTTTGCATGATAATCAAGTAATTAATAAGTTGTGACTTCATGGAAGTGTGACCTCGATATGCATTTGGCCCAGATATACATGTACAGGAAATGTATGGAAGTAGGAAGCACAATTAATGTGAACAAACTACGACATTGAACTCAGATAAAACACTGGCTGCTATTGAAGTTGTACACCGTGATATACTTCTCAGGCTACTGATATCCTTCGTAAACCTCTGTCCACCGCCAACATTTACAGTTCGATCTTAACTCTGAGTTTTGTTTGACAAGGAACACCTCAAGCGAAAGACAAGACTTTGGTGGTAGATGTATAAATATGCTTTGATAATCAATCAGTCAATTACGCCAATGCTTTTACAAGTCAGGAATAACAATCACATGTCAATATTCGTCATGGTTACATTTCTTATGACATACCTGTGATCAGCTTGCAAACTGATGTTCTCATGATGAGGGTTGTACCTGGACAAGGGCTGTCATTTCAGCTTTGTTTCAACATAAACAGTTGTAGAAGTCAATTGCACGAACAAAATGTTTTTTAACTTTTAAAGTGTTGAAACCTTAATTTCCACTCTCTAGTATGCTTGTAAATCTCTATTAAATGAACACAGACAATTTAACATTTTTGAAAACCTTTTTCTCTTTAATTAGTTTTCTGTTTCTCTAAGGAGTAGGTACCCTGTAGTGCATGCTTGTTATGAGAAGATATGATGGTGATTGGTTGGAGTGTTGTGAGTGAGTGAGTATGGTTTTATGCCACTTTTAGCAATATTCCAGCATTATCACGCCAGAGGACACCAGAAATGGGCTTCACACATTGTACCCATGTGGGGATTCAAACCTGGGTCTTTGGCGTGACTAGCAAATGCTTTGACCACTAGGCTACCCACCGACCCTGCCATCTGTTGTGGGATGTGTGACCACCACGGAAGAACCTGGTGAATGTCACAGTGTCATGTCACCTGAGTCACTGGTTTGTCTGGTCCAGACTCTCTTGCAGGAAGGTGTCACATAACTAGTTGTGCCAGCTCAGTCTCATCACCACTGACTGTAACAATCATATCTGTGTCGCAAGGAAGTTGCTTCATTGCCATAAAGCTGTGTTTCCTGATGCTTCTTCCTTGTTTCGAAGGGCGGTGGGGTAGCCTAGTGGTTAGTGCTTTTGCTCGTCACGCTGAAGAACTGGGTTCGATTCCCCACATGGGTACAATGTGTGAAGCCCATTGCTGGTGTCCCCCGCTGTGATATTGCTGGAATATTGCTAAAAGCGGCATAAAACCAAACTCACTCACTCTTTGTTTTGTACCTCAGAGGAATTTTAATTGTTCTTGGACACGAAAGATGTGAACATTACTTCATATTAAGTAAAAAGGGCAAACTTTGGCCCGGTTACGTAAAGGGCTGCAATTGATTGTAGAGTTGCGCACCTTTTCCTTTCAGGATCTGCTGACCTCATCCTATGGTGATTATCATGGCTGTAGGTCTAGTTTAGTTTAGCCAGTCTCACTCGGGCCTTTTCTTGAACATTAATGACGATCATGTTACTTGAACTTGGAATTACAAACTATCATTCACTTCAGTCAGACTTGCTCACTTGGTTGACACATGTCATTGTATCCCAATTGTGTGATCACTTGATTGTCTGGTCCAGTTTCGGTTATTTACAGACCACTGCCACATAGCTGGAGTGTGGCGTTAAACAACAAGCGAACAAACAACATAAAACATACTGACTCATCATTTGTGTAGATTGATGCTCATGATCACTGGATTGTCTGGTCCAGGCTCGATTATGTACAGACCACCACATACAGCTTGAATATGGCTGAGTTCAGTGTTAAGCACCAAACAAACCTACCTTCTTGCTTATCATGAAACATCAGTGCTAAGATTATAAGAGTCAGTTAGAACCTGCTGTTTGTCCAGAGGTAAAGTTAGGGTTCAGTTACATACTCAATACTGACATGTTATTGTCTTCTCCGTGCTGCTTGTGTGATGATGCTACAATATTGCTGGGAAACCAGCACTCAATAATCCTGAATAATTCACAATCTCTCTGTGATCACTGGTTCATGATCAGATTTCCACTCACAGGTCTCATCAGAACTGTCAAGCTGTCTGGGCCACTTGGGATTATTAAATTTCTTAACAGTTTGCACACATATAAGATATAAAGTAAATGTTGATGGGAGTGTTAAGCCAAGTAAATTCAAGCAAATATTGTTTATAATGTTTTGATTAGAATTCTGTTCGTTCCTTTTTTCAGTTTGGTACTGGTGAACTCAAACAGATTGACTGGCATGACTACAAGCTTATAGCCGAGGAGCAGCAGAGGAAGGGTGGGTGATGACAGTGTTTTCACATTCACCTACCAGTGTTTCACATTCACCAACCAGTGGTTCATTGTCAACAGTGTGTTATGTGATGTGTTCAAAAAAAAGAGTTTCACTTTCACAACCATGTTATTCATCAGTCACAAAATTATTGAACAATACTACAAAACAATCACAGTTAATCCGTGTAGAACACGACAATATGCCTCAACAACTATGTTTTATGATGTTTATGCCAAACAATTATAGCCTTGTTACCGTGTACCTGCGATATTTGAGTTACGTGTTGGACAACAATGTCTTTCATTCAGGCCTATCAGATCAATGGGCATGTTCCCTACTATAGATGAAGAACTTAGGTCGCTGTGACCTTACTGCCCAACAGAGTTTTAAGTACCTTGTGTGCCATAGCTGGGTTAACATCATAACGACATGATTAAGTTCCTGGTGCGTGAATAGGACACTTCTTAAAGTAATATTTCATTCATTTGTATAAAATAGCCTTTGAGGACTACTATGTTTGTTTGTTTGCGACATTCCGTTTTATGTAGCCAGTGAAAAATGTTCTAACAAAAGCAATCTGTACAGACATGTTTAATATTTGTATGCAAACATGCTTTGTGAAATAGTCCTGTGATTCAGAGGTATAAATGGATGGTGTCAATGAAAGGGAAACACAGATTCTAGATTACACTTGTTTATTACCTACAATGTCATGTAGACATGCCATCCCCCATGTTCAACCTCATGTGAAGATGGATCAAAGCATTCCTCTCCTTGTCATTGGCCACAGGTGGGCTAGTCATTTGAGGCACTACAATTCACTGCAAAGAGTTACCTCCCTTTGACGTGTCAGAAACCTATGAGCATGGGTTTGAATCCCAGTTCACCCTGATTGTGTTCACAGGTTTGTCAGCGCTATACCTGTGGTTGTGGCTCCACCAAAGTGGTAAACTTCGGAGACCCCCATCACTTTAAGATTTCCACAAGCTGACACGCTGTTATATAACTGGAATAAAGTTTAGGATTAAATTGGCATTAAGCTCAATTCACTCACTCTTTATGACACACTTAAAAGTTTTTACCTGAATGTCTTTGAGTTTGCCTGACTTGAAAGAAATTTCTAATGCTTCTCTTCCTTTTCAACTGCCGCCATACAGTGTTTGCCCTTAACCCTGAAAAGCTGCAGGCTCTTAGGACCCAGAACCATAAAATGTTGTGGGTCGTGATCAGAATGTGTAGGCCCTATTTTTTAATATTGAAATAATACTCACAGTTATTGGGGATGAAAAAGCTGTTGGCCATAAGGACCTGCAGAAAATAAAAGCTGTGGGTCTGAGTGGTTTTAGTCGGCTTTGGGCCCAAGGACCTGTGTTAATTTCGACTGAAGGAAATCTGAATTATGTAACCGTGGCTTGTTGGCTCCAGTCTTGAATGGATACTGTAGTGGGTAAGAGCTGTGACATCGCTGTATGTAAAACCAACTCTATGTGTCTAATGTTGACAGAGGGGAATCCATGTGCTCAAGCTAACACATATTTCCATAAAAGACTTTTCATAACCTATGGCTAGGGGTGGGGTGGGGGTGGGGTGGGGATGGTGTGATGATGATTTTACGGGCGTATGGTGTCACGCATTTTGTTCTGGGGGAGGTAGGGAGGCCATCAATTGTGTACACATGTATTGGGGGGTCAGCAATTTTGTACATACAGCTATTTAAAAACTATGCTTAAAATTATTGGAAGGGGGGTGTCACTGATTTTGTACATTGTACATGACACGCAGGGGGGGCAACTTACTCTGTGCATAAATTTTAGGGTGTGTGTGTCATTCACATTGTACATGCTTTTGCATAAAAATCATCATCACCCCCTAGCCATAAATTTAGTATGTATAAAAAGTGTAATGATAATACAATGTTATGATGATATGAATCCTCTTAAAGATGAGACCCTTTGGCAAGTTAATACAGTTTTATGGAACTTTTTGTTTTGAGATTGCTTTGAAGTAAAGAGTTAAATTAATCATATTCATTCTGTTTGTCAGCTTGATACATCTTTTTAGACAATCGTCAATCAATCAGTCAAAATATACACACATGTAGCGCTGGAATCCAGCAATACATTGCGGCTTTCAAGCTCTTGGAGTCAAGGGCACTGATTAGGCCTTGTAGGTTTTGTTCAAGACCAGATCTTCGAATATTTTTGTACAGGGTTTGGATGTTTGAAGGAGATTCTGATCCCCTGATCATTGTGATTGTAAAGGTTCATAGCTCTGCACATGATCAGCCAGATAAGCTGGTGACAGCTCATCCAGTCTTGAAGACAAGAATGAGAACCTAGAACTAGAACTTAATTTTCTTTGTCAGGTCCTGGGGAACAGGGTTCTGCTGTGATCCTCTCGGCTGCGGATGAACAGAAGAAGAATGATCTGTACAAAGTTAATGGATTCAACGCATATGCCAGTGACAAGATTTCCCTACAGAGGGCGCTAAAAGACATACGACATCCAGAGTAAGTGTGCTTGTGAAATCTAGTTACTTTGAGGTCTGGTTTGGTAACATGTTACACTGTCTGTTTTGAATGGTCATCTGTTGGTGGGAGGGTAGGATGTGCAGTGACCAACATTCCTAAACCAGGATCACATGGCACGTGTGCCGTACGATGAACAGGTCTATGATTTTTTACGAGGTTTTAGGCATCAAGGATGACTGCGGGCTACGACGTATATATTCACATTGCCTTCGGGCATCGTGCGATTTCTTTGGGGACAGGCTGAGGCAACCTGCATGGAGGCTGTACGGAGATCTTAATGGAGATCAGATGGAGATCTTACGGAGATCACATGGAGATCTTACGGAGATCACATGGAGATCGTGCGGTTGCCATGCTGTCTCCACATCTACTGCATGGACATTGTATGGGGCCCGTGCGGAGGCTGAATAGAGATCGGTTTACCATGTATAGTTTGTTGTCTTGGACCTCTCTCATGAACTGAGACAAATGATAGAAGTGCTAGGGATTGCCGATGTATATACCCATGGTAAAAATGATGACTGGTCATCGCAAGGCTGCCACACGGCCATCATTACCGCACAATGTCCGTTCAATTTCACGGAGGCTGCACGGAGACCACATGGTGATCTTGCAAATATCCCACAACTAAACATATCATGTGGTTACCACACGATCACCATGCTGACTTTGTGAAGTGGCCATGCGATGGCACCTACGGACTACGGGCTTACGATTGTTTCAAATATGTCAAACTTCATAGAATTGTGCAATGATTGCACGGCGACCACATGGAAATGGAGTTACGGGCAGTTTATGAGTGCCATAGACCCATTGCAGGCCAACTGTGAACCAGGCATAAATACTAATTGATATAATGGGAAGATGACGTAGCCTATAGTCTGTTTGCAGTGAAAACCTACCGAAGAATTTCACTTTAAACAAAAAAATTAAGTGAAATCCTCATTATTTTACCTTGCCAATTGAACATCTCAGATGTTATTCAACTTAGGATAAAAGTTGTTTAACAAACAATTATAGTTTCAAATCGTTTTTGTTGGTTTGTATGACAAGTGGGTATGCACATTAAATGAAACACCGAGAACAAGTAGCATTGGTCTAAGTTAAAGCTCATCACGTACCGCACGTGCATTTGTTTCACTGTTCCAACTACTGCATTTACCCCCTTGTAATACAAACCAATAATAGCAATTTGAATCTATGATCGTTTGTTAAACAACAAGTTGCATAAAATTCTGAGATTTAAATGTTCAGTTGGCAAGGTAAAATTATGAGGATTCGCAATCATCATTTCATTTTATTTGATTTACTTTTTTTGTTAAAAGTGAAATTCATCGGTATGTTTTCACTGCAAACAGACTATAGTGGTTAAAGCATTTGATTGTCATGCTGAGAGCATGGGTTCAATCCTTCATACACTTACAATGTGGGAATCACATTTGGGGTGTATCCTTCAGGGATATTACTGGAATATTGCCAAAAGTAAAATCAAACCTCCTTCCCTCACTAACACATGATTCATCTTAGAATGAAAAGTTATGGTTATGATGTTCTGAATATATTCGTGAAAATATTTAAGGGATTGCAGGGAGCTCACATTGTCATAAAAAGATTCTTAAATATTTCCATGGCGGGAGAATTTTGTAAGTTTGTAGTTGTAGTGCTTCATGTGTGTTTTGGGGACAATAAACTTCAACAAACAGTGAGCTTGGTAAAATATATCAGGGCAGATACTTGTTAGATTTGCCAGGGATTTTGTTGATTATAAATCTTTTTTAGTTACATGTATTAGCATTTAGACATTAACATCACCAGCTGATAGCATGATTCAGTTTACCAATTAGTAATGTTCAATTACTTTTGATTACAAAATTTACCTCAGTATTCATCTTTTGTCCCATTTAATTAAACAAAAGTACCAGGCAACACTATAAACCATGTTTCTATGAAAATAATATAACGAAGTATACAAAATGTTTATAAGATGTAATTTCTGACTGTACAGCTGTCAAAGGAAGAAGCACTTGAACAAGTTGCCAACTGCTAGTGTCATCGTCCCCTTCCACAATGAGCACTGGTCCACGCTGCTACGGACAACGTACAGTGTCATTGACCGCACGCCTAAACATCTCATACACGAGGTCATCCTGGTGGATGATTTCAGCAACAAGGGTAGGTAACTTGTGGTGGTTAATTCAAGTCATTCCAATAATGAGTCATCAGATCATTCTACTGGAATAGGGTAAAAACAAATTAAAGCTGGACTCCAAATTATGGAGATTGCTAATTCTGGTAATTACGTATGTTTAATCTGTTAAAGGTGTGCAGATGAGCTGTTTCATGAGCTGTCTGGCATTTGGATGAAGATATTTATGTTTTTAAATTTATTGATGTCATATCATACATACCATGGTAGCTGTTAAGATAAGATTAGATTCTAATGTCAGTTTTCTCACCGTTTCAGAGTTTCTTAAGGAAAAACTAGAAAAATATGTGAAGGAGAATTTTGACAATGTGAAGGTTGTACGTGCGGAGAAGCGTGAGGGTTTGATCCGAGCTCGTCTGTTGGGGGCGAAGGCAGCCACTGGGGACGTTCTCATCTTCCTCGACTCCCATGTGGAGGCCAACATCAACTACCTTCCTCCACTGCTGGGTGAGTAGAGGCTGCAGACAATCTGATGTCAGTAGTTCCTCACTGATCTTCTCTCTTTTCTTTGTTTAGTTCGTCTGTCAAAGCTCTGTCCCTCTGCTGTGATCAGCTGGTCGCGGGTTTGAATTCTAAATTGTAATGTTTAGTGTGTCAGTACCAAGGTGGTAGCCCTATGTTCTATCATGTGTAGCCATGTTAGATGATACACTGGCTTGGTGTAACTGATTATTGTTAAGATAATATCAGATTGCGTTCCCCTTCTCACTCTCTGTAGTGTAGTGCCGTGCGTGCCGTGCCGTGCCGTGCGTTTGTACTCTAGTGTAGTCTACTCTAGTCTCGTCTGGTGTGGTGTGGTGCGGTGCGGTGCGGTGTCGTGTAGTGTCGCATAGGGCAGTGTAGTGTAGTGTAGTGTAGTGTTGTGTCGCTTAGTGCAGTGCCGTGCCGCATAGTGCAGTGTAGTTTAGTGTAGCATAGTTCTCTCTGTAATAATATGCTCACACATTTGCTGATTCACAGACTTTTCTTTTGCATATAGAGCCGATAGCTCTCAACAAGAAGACGGTAGTATGTCCTTTCATTGATGTGATTGACTACGAGAACTTCGCCTACCGCGCCCAGGATGAGGGCGCCAGGGGAGCGTTTGACTGGGAGTTCTTCTACAAGCGATTACCTCTCCTCCCTGAAGATAAAAAACACCCAGCTGATCCGTTCAAGTAGGTTCTGACAGAGATAGGACAATAGACTTTCTTGTTGGTCTTAGTAACTCAAATACATTGGTGTCATATATTGGTGCCATACTTTGGTGCCGTGCAATTTGCTGTCATGACTATTGGTTACCACGGTTATAATGAACACACAGTAACCCCTTATTTTAGTTTGTTGTATGCATTTCAACATTTGTTATATCCATCAGTTTTGTTATAAGCGTGGTCATTCTAAGCATAGTTTACAGTCCGTTTGAAAGGGACAGCCAGGTGTGCGAGAAAGGATGGAGACGGCACAGCACAGGCTAATGAATCAATAACTTGGTGGGCACTTGTGCACGTGCTTCTCTAACACCTGGCTGTCCCTTTCTCTGCACTCCTCCCTCGTAACAAATAGTGAACTGTGTCAAATTTTAATGATAGTTTCTTAAAGAGCTTTTTTGGTGGAGTCTGGAAAATTTTCAAATATAAGAAAGCTGTTGGGTATTAGTAAATGATAAACATGTGTACTATTTATATTTATGTGGCAGTTTTGTACAATGATAAAATTTGCAATTCATCGGTACGTTTCTGACTCAAACGGACTGTACTGTATGTGGTTATTGACAATTTATCCAGGTTACCCTGTTGTTGCTGTAATTTCCTTAAACAATATTAACGATGTCCCTCCATCACTTCTTCTCTACAGGAGCCCAGTAATGGCAGGCGGGCTGTTCGCCATCGACCGGGAGTGGTTCTGGATGATGGGAGGGTACGACCCAGGACTTGACATCTGGGGTGGGGAGCAGTACGAGCTGTCCTTCAAAGTGAGTGTCAGTCCTGATTCACCCTGAATGTGGTAGTTTGTCACAACTGTTCTTGATTGCCTCTCCTGGGTCACTTCAGGCAATATTCTCCATCATGCTGATGCTGTGATGTAACCTTTTTTCATATTCTAGACATTGTAGAGACCAGCTAACTTGTGGAAAGTGATATATACAGGAAGTTAAACATGCTGAATGTTGCATATTGTATCGCCATTCTGTTCACTGTAGTTACATATGCAGGGTATGAAACTTCCAGAAATTTCAGCCAGGCCACAGGGCTGGTTAGATGTAAAACTTGCCAGCCCTGACCAAAACTTACCTGTCCACAAAATATCTTCATATACATGTGAAAATTTTAACCCGACCGTCGGGCAGGTGAATTTGAGAATCTGGCAGTCCGTGTTGAAAATAACCCGTCCCGGGCTGTTGGGCAGGCAGGTATTCTGAATGCTGACATATGGAACATTTACTGAGTGTTTAGAGATTTCTTTCAAAGTGCTGTTCTTGCTGAAGTGAGTGCACATCAGCATGTCAGATATTTTGGAGCTCAAGTGGCCAAGTCAACCCAAGGAGAGGTGGCGCTTTGCTGAGTTGCCTCCCTTGGCTGAGTAGAGTTGCTTCCCCTATGCATGTCAAAGAACATCAGTGAAACATGTTTAGCCCAAGGTCCTTTTAAAATTACCTAGTTTGTGTAGTTGTTATTAGTTTATACAGATTGTGACCTGGTTTATTATTGAAGTCACAGTAAACTCTATGACAATACTTGTATACTTGTATTTGCTTTTATAAGCTGTGACAATTCTGATGACTTTGTTGTAGATCTGGCAGTGTGGAGGGCAGATGGTGGACGCCCCCTGTTCCAGGATTGGACATATCTACCGCAAGTTTGCTCCGTTCCCCAATCCTGGAGTGGGTGACTTTATAGGCAGAGTAAGTAGACATGTCTCACAAATATATTGTTGAAAGTCTTTTATGGCTTCTAATCCACTTTTACCTTTTACTCTGTACCAATATCTGAGACATATGTCGGCACCTCCTATCGAAGAGTAAACTAATGCAGGGCTAGCTGATGTTCATCAAGGTTAGAAAATATACCCTTGTTTCTCTTTGAATCTTGTTTATTTCTATGGGGCTGGCGGGGTAGCCTAGTGGTTAGGGGTGGGTATTGCAGAGAATTTTCATATTGCGATATATTGCGATGCGGAAACATATATTGCGATATCTATTGCAATATATTGCAAGGATTATTTTTTTAACAAAAAACTACTTATAATCGAGTTAATGCTTGATTATAAAGCAAAAACACAACAAAATCACTATGATTGATTAACCTTTTATAAAAACTTTTAATCATGACAAAATAAGAATGTAAGTAACATTTGGCACTAATGAAACAGGGAAAAGAACAACTCAAAAAATGGAAATATCCGAAGATTCCCGAGTGTTACGAAGTTTTTGGAATGCATGCCAAATTACCGGTTTTCGATCAGCGTATCGCAATACGTATCGTTTTCATGTCTGAACCGGTAAATACCGGTAAACCGGTTACATTGCGCAGCCCTACTAGTGGTTAAGTCAGTTTGCCTTCACGCTAAGTCCAGTGTTCTGTTCCCTACATGGGAACAATGTGTGAAGCCCATGGTCTCATGGTCTTTGATATTGCTAGGATATGGAATCGATCTGAACATTGGCATAAGACTCTGTTCTCTCACTCAAAGACTGTTTGGATCAAGCAGTATCTAAAAAAGATATGCACATTTAATTGTCACGATTAAATCTTACATTTTGGGTAACACAATATCAACATCCCGAGAACATCTTTTGGATATCTCTTAATGGAACAGGCTAAGACTCCTCTAGTTAGACACTGACATCCTTCAGCGGGAGTATTACTGATATCAATGTTAACAACAAAAACAAATATTTACCTGTGTTGTTGACAATGTAGAACTACCGGCGAGTGGCTGAGGTGTGGATGGACGAGTATGCTGAGTTCCTGTACAAACGCCGGCCTCACTACCGCAGCGTCGACACCGGAGACATCAGCGCGTAGAAAGCCATTCGCAACAAGCTGAAATGTAAACCATTCAAATGGTTCATGGAGGAAGTGGCCTTTGACCTTGTCAAAGTGTATCCCCCTGTTGAGCCAGAACCAATGGCTGAAGGAGAGGTAGGAGGAACGAGCAGACGTGTTCATGTTGTACAGACGCAATGCCAGTCAAATTTATAATCTATACATAATGATACAATAATAATACAAAATGCATAAATGCAAAATACAGCTGAAGTGCACTTTTGGGAACTGAAAATATGACATCTGTGACATTTTATTACGTCTGATTATCTGTGTTTTGTTTTTTTTCATGCCTTTTACAACAGTAGAATGTCAACAAGTCCTGTGGTTTAAATTGAAGCCATCAAGAGTTATCTCCCTTCCTTTACTCAGAACATGATCCATAGACCAGATATGATTTGGATCTTCCACCTAAGAGCTGCTAGAGTCAGAATAATGACATTAACTGAAGAAAACATGAACAGGCTGTGGATATACAGTTGAGGTTATGGTTAACCTGTGTGTACTGGTTATGGTTTTCAGAAATATTTTATGTAATATTTAGGAGTTAGGAAGAAATAGCAGACATGTTCTTGTTGTACAGAAATAATACCAGTCAAATATATAATCAATGCATCATGATACAATATGTATACAAAATACATGTACACCAGGATAATAATCAAATAGCAGACATGTTCTTGTTATACAGAAATAATACCAGTCAAATATAATCAATGCATCATGATACAATATTGATACAAAATACATGTACACCAGGATAATAATCAAATGGTTACTTAAGTATGTTGGCTTGTGAAACTTTGATATAGGCCAACAAGCAGTTGGTCTCTTGACAATATGATTACCAGTTGAACAGTTTGTTTATATCTGTGACACTGATTGCATGTTTTTATGAAACTGGAAAAATGGACAAGGACTGCTAAAAGCATTTAAAAGAGCACAGCTGATGGAAAATGGTGCACAGCTCACATGCCTGAACAGTGGTTTAGCCCAATACATGACAATTAACAGTCAGAGTGGGTGTAAAATGGTTCATATGCAGCTGAATGTCTTATTATCTGTGTTAACTGGTTTTTTTTGCCATCTTCCCTCCATAGAAGGAGAATGACATCAATTCATGTGGTTTCAAGTGAACCCATCAAGAGTTATCCCCCTTTCTTTACTTAACCCATGACCCATGTTCTGATTTCAAGTTAAGATTTGGATCTTTCCCCTCAGAGCTGCGAGAGTCAGATTAATGAAATTAACAGAAGATGTGAATATACATTTGAGGCTATGGTTAAGTCAACATCTTTGTTATAATTATTGATTTCAGAAATATTTTCCGCCACCATATACCTGGGATATTGCTGAGTGTGGTGTTAAACAACAAACCAACAAACACCAGAAATATTTTATGCAGTATTTAGTTGTTAAAAAATATGACATTTTCAGAGCTATTTTTATATAGTACTTTTCTGTTAAGTCAAAAAGACAGTACCTTGGATACTGAGCTTCAAACAGTTTTACCCAATCTGCCCTGTTGAAGTTCATATACATAATTATCCTTATGTCTTGGGTTTAAAAAATGATGACATTCTTATCTGATGACAATTCATTTCAGTTAAGGAATACTGCTGGTGGCTTGTCTGAAATTCAACTGTTGTTTTTCAGTTGAGGAATAAAGCCAGTAACTATTGTGTGGACACTCGGTTCAAGGGGGCCAACGAGAGGTTCAACCTGGAGCCGTGTATTAAGGACGGAGGCGGAGCTAATGGAGAACAGGTACTTTGTAGTTATTGTCATTTGAAGAGATGATCACTATACTCTGTATCGCGGCCACTCTGACATATAGATATGGATAGATGGCTAGATACACAATACCACATTTAACAGTGGATGCCGTGTGTTAACAGGATGTGGACCTGATGGCTGACCATGACATTCCTTGATTGATGCTGTCTCTATACATGCTTATGGTTTGTCTGGTCCAGACCTGAACTAGCATCTCCTTGTTCTCCTGACATTCCTTGATTGATGCTGTCTCGATACATGCTTATGGTTTGTCTGGTCCAGACCTGAACTAGCATCTCCTTGTTCTCCTGACATTCCTTGATTGATGCTGTCTCGATGCATGCTTATGGTTTGTCTGGTCCAGACCTGAACTAGCATCTCCTTTGCTTCCCTGGTTTGTCTGGTCCAGACCTGAACTAGCATCTCCTTGTTCTCCTGACATTCCTTGATTGATGCTGTCTCGATACATGCTTATGGTTTGTCTGGTCCAGACCTGAACTAGCATCTCCTTGTTCTCCTGACATTCCTTGATTGATGCTGTCTCGATACATGCTTATGGTTTGTCTGGTCCAGACCTGAACTAGCATCTCCTTGTTCTCCTCCCATTCCTGGGTTGATGCTGTCTCTATCTGCCAATGGTTGATGGTAATTAAGGTTGTGATTAATCATAGTCTGTACATTCCTGTGTTTTCTTCAACAATGTTGAGATGTATTCAACTGTATATTTTCAGACATTTGAGTTTTCTTGGCACAAAGACATCCGTCCAAGGAAGAGGACAGTCTGCTTTGATGTATCACAATCTATGAAGAAAGCACCGATAATACTGTTTAACTGTCATAACATGTTAGGCAACCAGCGCTTCAAATACAAAGTGGTAAGTGTCTTAAATTTGCCCATTGTCTCATCAATGTTGATGAAACATCCAGATCATGTGAAGGTTGTGAAATCAGTTTTCCTGCTGTCTTTAACAATGGTGAAAAATCAGATTGTAGTTATTTTTGTTGCTGCATTTTCTCCTGTTCACTGCTCAATAACTGTACCTAATATTGTTTAAATATGTTTTGTTGCAGGGCACTTCCCAGATCTACCACTCTGTGCCCCCTTATTGAGTCTATGTTCTGTTGCAGGGCACTTCCCAGATCTACCACCCTGTGACCTTTTATTGAATCTATACAATGTTCTGTTGCAGGGCACGTCCCAGATCTACCACCCTGTGCCCCCTTTTTGAGTCTATGTTTTGTTGCAGGGCACGTCCCAGATATACCACCCTGTGCCCACTTATTGAGTCTATGTTCTGTTGCAAGGCACATCCCAGATCTACCACCCTGTGCCCCTTTTGAGTCTATGTTCTGTTGCATCTACCACCCTGTACCCCTTATTGAATCTATGTTCTGTTGCAGGGCACTTCCCAGATCTACCACCCTGTGCCCCTTATTGAGTCTATGTTCTGTTGCCCGTCCCAGATCTACCACCCTGTGCCTCCTTATTGAGTCTATGTTCTGTTGCAGGGCACGTCCCAGATCTACCACCCTGTGCCCCCTTATTGAGTCTATGTTCTGTTGCAGGGCACGTCCCAGATCTACCACCCTGTGCCTCCTTATTGAGTCTATGTTCTGTTGCAGGGCCGTCCCAAGATCTACCACCCTGTGCCCCTTATTGAGTCTATGTTCTGTTGCAGGGCACATCCCAGATCTACCACCCTGTGCCCCCTTATTGAGTCTATGTTCTGTTGCAGGGCATGTCCCAGATCTACCACCCTGTGCCTCCTTATTGAGTCTATGTTCTGTTGCAGGGCACGTCCCAGATCTACCACCCTGTGCCCCTTATTGAGTCTATGTTCTGTTGCAGGGCACGTCCCAGATCTACCACCCTGTGCCCCCTTATTGAGTCTATGTTCTGTTGCAGGGCACGTCCCAGATCTACCACCCTGTGCCCCTTATTGAGTCTATTTACAATGTTCTGTTGCAGGGCACACATCCCAGATCCCAGATCTACCACCCCATGTGCCCCTTATTGAGGGCACATCTATGTTCTGTTGAAGGGCACGTCCCAGATCTACCACCCCATGCCCCCTTATTGAGTCTATGTTCTGTTGCAGGGCACGGCCCAGATATACCACCCCGTGACCCTTCATTGAATCTATACAATGTTCTGTTGCAGGGCACTTCCCAGATCTACCACTCTGTGCCCCCTTATTGAGTGTATGTTCTGTTGCAGGGCACATCCCAGATCTACCACCCCATTCCCCCTTATTGAGTCTATGTTCTGTTGCAGGGCACATCCCAGATCTACCACCCTGTGAGTGGACAGTGTCTAGACTGTGACCCAGCCAGCCACGAGATGTTCATGAATCCATGCGACGAGTCGAGCGATACACAAAAATGGCAATTCGAAAAAATGAATACAACAATAGTTTTAAAAGATTGGGATATTCCGTTAGATTAATGAAAATATATGCTAATTAAGTTTAAGAAATTATTAAATTCGCTCAAGCAATATTATTTTGTTTGTTGATTATGTTTTGGTAGGGTGTCTGTGATGTTTGGATGAAGGCAATGTTTGAAGCGTGTGGTCACAAATTTACAGTCACAATTTTAAGGTTGATATACATGTTGATCAGGTACTGTTGACTTGAATGTACATATGGTGTGAAAATGTTGTCACAACTTAAAACCATCCCCCTGTTTAAGTGTTCATCAACTCTTTTGTTACATACCTCTCAAACTTTGGGTTTAAGTTTCAGTATGATCAACTTGAATTATTACCACATATATTTATAAGTATAGGTATAGCTCATGTAAGAACACGGTTATAACAGATTGTTTCAAAAATTGTGTTCCCAAAGCATCATTACAAGCTACAGCTGTAGAATGCGTGTTGAGCAAGGTACCCATTTCTTAGGCTGAATAAGGAAACATTTCTCAGGCATGGACGTGTGTCTTTAAAAACTGTGTCAGTGATTTTATTGGCAATAAAAAATATATTTTTCAGATTTCTGTGTGTTTCGTGGTCTCTTTAAAACTGAGACTGTTGGCAAAATAAATTTTTGGACATATTTCCCACATATGAATCAGATACTGTTTTTCATGCAACTGTCATGATATTAAACAGCCTATTTCAGTGTGTGCCTCAGTTTGTCGTTATTCTGCCATCTCTTTTGTTTTAAATAAAAAATGTACTAAAGTCCTACCTCCCTCATCACTTATGAGAAAAATGTGCCAGAGAAACGTTTGTTTTTTCCTATGCAGCATGACCACGACATATCTCATGACCCTGGTAGATGATCATGAAGTGGATTAGTCTGTTTCAGGAAATATTTTGACATGTCTCTTGATGGTAGATGTTACAACATTGAATGAATGATACAACTAAAAAATATCAGCCAATAATCGGGAAGCTTGAATTGTGTTTTGTAAACCCCAATGTTTTGATTATTGTTTTGTGCATTTGTTTTTCCATGGTGACAGTTCATGATATTTTGTTGTAAGTTACATGTTGTTCAGGAAGTAGAAATAAATGGGAAATGCTTGTTATTTATATTTCCCACGATAATCCCCAGATGTATTTTTACTCTCAATATCATGATCAGTGCAAATCCCCCAACTTCTTATGCTGGACAAAATTTATGATTTTTTAAGATTTTTCTAAAATAAATTGGGTAATATCTTTTTGGTCCTAAAACTCACTCACTCACTCACTGATGAGGGCTGGTTCCATCCCAAACAGGTATTGTAACATTAGTGAGTGAGTGAGTGAGTGAGTGAGTGAGTTTGATTGATTTTACGCCGCTTTTAGCAATATTCCAGCAATATCACGGCGAGGGACACCAGGTATGGGCTTCACACATTTTACACAAGTGGGGAATCGAACCCGGGCCTTCGGCGTGACGAGCGAACGCTTTACCCACTAGGCTACCCCACCGCCCATATTGTAACATGATAGCCATATAGCTGGAATATTGCTGACTGCAGCGTTAAACAACAAACAGCAATACTGTAACTTGTTACTGTGCAAGTTGTAGTCACTGAATGCTTGTGGGTTGTAGGACTTACCAGAGGGGTAGCCTAGTGGTGAAAGCGTTCGCTCGTCACGCTGAAGACCTGGGTTGATTCCCAACATGGGTACAGCGTGTGAAGCCTGTTTCTGGTGTCCCCTGCCGTGATGTTGCTGGAATATTGCTAAAAGCGGCATAAAACCATACACACTCACTCATTCATTTGCCAGAGTCTGATCCAGGGAATGTTCCAATCATAGGCAGTCATGTAAGCCAGTCATGAGAGCGAGTTTCTGTAGCCTTCACCTTGACTGCTGTGTGAAAATGAATTTCATTTTTCAGTCAGGAGATCATAAAAGTCAGCTGACCAAGTTTCTTGTAGCCTTGACCTTGACTGCAGTGGAAAAGTTGTCAAATAAAGATTATATTTAAATAAAAAGCTTACCAATCCACTGAATTTTCAGGATATATCAATATTAGATGTGATGTTTAGGATTTTCATCAGGTGGAAAAAGGTTACACGCCTAATGTGTAGTGTGTTTTTTTAGTCGTTAACTTCAGTGTCTTTGTAACTATTTATGTTTAGAAATTGTCATATTGGCACTGATTCACACGACCCTGTAGGGAGCAGAGATGTCTTTAAGGACATTAAGGAGATGTGTGTGATGCACAGAAAATGTCTATTGATTATTAAAATTATTTCACAACTATTTAAGAGTGATGTTGAAGTAACCATGACAATATTATAATATAATTCTACATTTACCGTATGTAATATATAATGTATTTGTGCTTTATGTCAATTTACAAAATGTCTATCAAACATTTTCTTGCAGTATCTCAGAGCTCGGTTTCACATGTGTTGAAATCTACATGTTATCGTTGAATTCATTATATTCACATCACAGGATTTTCATGGTGTATCCATATGGGTATATTTTGCTCAATCATTTAAATAACAGTGACCAAACATTTCCGTAATTATAAGAAATCTGTGCTAGTGATGCCAGCTTGGTACGAACAGTTGCCTGTGGGAACTAACAGAATAATCAGTAACACAATCTCATTGGTCAGACTAATGTTTTTGTGTCATATAGTGTTTGTTTCTTAATCAAAATATGGATTTATCCTTTCAGATTTTTGTGACAATGAAATATTGATGAAAGGCTGGGACGGGGAAAATTGACAGTCGTTGAAAAAATTTGTAATTCCTTTTTGTGCCTGTATCCTTGAGAAGAGTCCTTGACCTCTACTTGGACCTTGTCCTAACCTTTTGGTTAAAATCCACACATTTAGAGTGAACCTGCACTTTAGGATGGATACAGGTGGGATTCTAGGTTAGGACCCGTCCACAGGTGGGATTCTAGGTTAGGACTCTTCCACAGGTGGGATTCTAGGTTAGGACCCGTCCACAGTCACCTGTCCTTGTGTGAGGCGGCGTATTGGAGCGGGTTGTCGGGCTTGGCGCCCTTTAATTGTGTAGTATCCTGATTTCTTTGATTCATTGTTTGTTGTAAACAAAATAAGTAACATTATCAACAGGTTCAGGTCTGACTAGATACAAGGCTGTCATATGACTTAAACTGCTGAGTCCATTGTTAACAAACACACAAATATGGAATAGTTACAATTGAATTTGAACTGCTGTATGTGATTGCAGTAGTTTTGGGTGACATTGCTGTAACAGCTAGCACTGGCATACACTTAAACTAGGGCAGAACAGATCGGACAGTTTGTCTGTTACAGAGGTAGCGTCATGCTTTCTGTTGTCTTTGGGGCCAATGCTTAGTTGCCGATTCTCTACCTGTGTTGACATACATAAAATGTTTCTCTATTTTTGTACAGTGTTTCAATGTGTTTTGGGGATGTACATATTTGTTATTTCAATGGTTGACATTTATGGCAATTGAGTCATGAACACAGTTCAAGACATGGATAAGCACTCCTGGTTAAATCTTTTAGAGATTTAATTGTACAAAAAAAAATCAAAGATATTGATTGTGGTTGTAACTGAAAACTTAAATATCTTTACGTACGTAGTGTCCCGACATATTTAGCTGAGAGAGGGACATATTTGCTGAATGCTGCAAGTTTGCTGGTGAACTATGCTGTTATTTATGCTGCTCAACTTTGGTAAGGATACTGCAGTGTTTCATATTTACTATGTGTACGAGCAATTGTTTTACTGTGTCACTGAATGAGAAGATCCCTCTAAATAATGGAGAGGCTGTAGCTGGTACAATACTTCTGTGTATAACTGTCATCAAAGCATTATTTGTTGATCTCAAAACACAAGCAAAAAACGAAATCTGTTGATATTTGTTTAAAAGCTATTGTTTTAGGGGATGCTCTGAAGATGTCTGACAAGATCCATATTACAATTGGTCTCCAGCAACCCATGCTTGTCATAACACTTAGGGGATCAGGCCCCGATTTCTCAAAACAAACTAAGTCTGAGTTTTGACTTAAGTTAGAGTTTTTACTCAAATTTGAGAAAATGCATTTCCCAGAATGAACTGAAATCGATATCAAACTCAAACATAGTAAACAATTTGAGTTTGGTGGATAGATTGTTTGGGCTTTTTTATTTCAAAAATTGCACTTGATTTAAAAATTCAGCGGTTTCAAATTGTCAAACTCAGGTTGTAATTTGAGTAAAAACTTAAGTTTGTTTCGAGCAATCGGGGACAGGTGGTCAGACTGGTCACTTGGTTGACACACGGCATCATATCAAAATTTCGTTGATCGATGCTCATGCTTTTGATCCTTGGATTATCGTATCCAGAGTCAAGTAGTAAACTTTGCGTTTTGTCCATGTGACAAACTGGTCGGTCAATCCCCCAAGTATGGAGAAGCACTGATATTACTTGTTACTGGTGATGTTTGATTGCAGATCTTTGACCTCCATCTCTTCACTTTGATTGTCATAAATGTCTCGTTTTGGGGAAAACCTACAGCTGCCGTTCTATGTTCAAGACTAATGATTCTGTCTTTGTGAAGCCTTACAATTCTTATATACCGCGAAATATTGCTGTTAAATATTAACTTACTCACTCACTTATGTACCAGCTGCAAATTGACATAGTTTTATGTCTTATATAGGACAAAACATCGTGATAATCCCTCATTCATGGACCAACCATTGCTGTTACAACCAGTGTTAGACTAAACCTTCTCACTGTCACCAGTGTTGTTATAGATTGTTATATTCTAGGACTGGTTTGGGGAATTTATGGCGGACATCAGCTTGACTGCCGAAGACAGACACTGAGAAAGAACATGTCTGTTGAATTCCAGTTTCAGATTGGCACACAAGTGATTTTTGTTACATTGTATTGGTTTGTAATATGAAACTGTCCAAAGTGACCAATCCATTTAGATGATAGTACTTTGACAAAGAAAAGGCTACTAACATGATGTGTTGTTACACCTTTTTGTTGATGAAGATTATGTACAACCTTTGTATGAAAAGCTGAATATATACTTAACAAAAAAAGTTAAGGACCCCCAATTTTCAGTATTAAAGTTCATAATATGATCCATATAATTCTTAAATATTGAATATTGGGATGGCCCTAAACTTTTTTTGATGAGTATATTTGATGTGCCATTAGACAGGGTACTCCTCACTTGATATGAACATACCATTGGTTCAAAAGGTGCTGTGTAATATGTACTGTGATTAGGTCCTGAGTCACATGTGGCGTGCTGTGGTAGTCTTTGTGGTGGCTGCCACTTGTTGTTTGAGGATATTTACAACTTGATTGGTTATTGTCTTCAGGTTAAGAATGTACAGTAGATGTAATGAGTCAATATTACATGTTGACTAATGGATGTTGTTGTTGAACATGTACATTCTGTTATTGCTCCATGTTTAAAGGGCGGTGGGGTAGCCTAGTGGTTAAAAGCGTTGGCTCGTCATGCTGAAGACCGGGTTCAATCCCCATATCAGTACAATGTGTGAAGCCCATTTCTGGTGTCCCCATGCATGATGTTGCTGGAATATTGCTAAAAGCGGTAAAACTAAACTCAGTCAGTCAGTCCGTGTTTAAATACATCATCTGATTCAGTGTATTATTTTCGGATCAGCATGAACTCTAAAAACTAATTTATGATGAACAGTACATTTAAGGGTATTTGTCTTGTGAATTGTGTTACAAGCAGAAATGGTTCTTTTCATGAAAGTCAAAACCATAGATTTGTTGATAATATTTGCAGAAATGTGTATAATGCTTTTCAGTATTTGGTGACAAGCAGTGACGGATTTCACAGAAGGTACAGGGCACTTGTTGACTTCTCTCCTTAAGCACTGCAATTTGTTCTGTGGAGTTGCTTCCCTTAGTGGTGCCAGGATTCAGGTGGCAGACCAGCATCACTTTGGATCCTTCCTCCCACACTGCATGGAGACACTGTGATATAATTGAAATATTGTACAAAGTTACATTAAGCCAAAGCAACTTACAGAAGGTAAAGTATCTTGTGATTACAATTGTGCAGCTGTTTTTTTCACCTTCTCACAGGTGTATTATCTGTAGGTCTTGAAAACCTGTACCCTTGGTTAAACCCTGTTGTCAGTGTTATCCTGTCTTAAAGTGCCTTTACATATTATCTGCAAACTTTAGTATAGTGATGCATGAAAAGTCTTGAGGACATTTGTGGTAGAACAATGTTTGCTGTGAATGGACGGAAATGTAACAAAAACATTGTCAGAGGAGGTCGGTATAATTATGTCACAAATGTTGGTAGAACAATGATGTTTGCTGTGAATAGCCAGAACTGTAGCAACAAACATTGACAGAGGAGAGTGGTATAGTTGTGTCACGTGTTTTAGTAGAACAATGATGTTTGCCGTGACTAGGCTACAGGCTAGCATTTGCACATTGAGATATATTGACAGACTGAACGTGATACAGTACAACCAGAAATTATTGAGAATTTAAAGATTTCCAAGATATTTTTTATGGATTAAACTTCTTTTTTCATTTCTCTCACAACGTTTCGAGACCATTCCAGGTCCCTTCATCAGGTGAACTGGCAGTTAGGACTCTAAAAGTTGTGAGAGAAATTAAAAAAGAAGTTTAATCCATAAAAAATATCTTGGACATCAATGTACAACTTCTAAATGCCACTGAAAGACATCAATTTAAAGATTGTAATTTATTATATATTTTTTCACTCATTACTCACGTATTAAATGTGAATATTAGCAGAGCATAACTCCAGATTCAAAGACAGGTGAACAGTTAGTATTTTGTCAAGTCACCATGGGCAGCAATGCAGGCTTCAATGCGGCAGGGCATACTACTGATCAAAGAAGTTAGAAAGTCGTGGTCCATGCTGTCCCAATATCGGACCACCTCTTCTTTCATTTCAGCAATATTTGTCAGATTTTTCTTATTGACACTTTCCTTCATAAGTCCCCAAACATTTTCTATTGGATTTAGGTCAGGCTATAGCTTGGCCAATCTAATAATGTCATATTTTGGGTCCGAAACCAGGCCTGTGAATGCTTTGAACGATGTTTTGGGTTGTCCTGCTGGAAAATCCAAAAAATTTCATAGAACATGTGAGCAGACGGAAGTAAATGTCCCTTGAGAATATCTGTGTACCGCTCACTGTTCATATTCCCTTCAAATACACAGAGGAGCGTTGCCCCTAACACAGATAAGCCACCCCACACATTAAATTTTGGACTGTACTTTGGACGCTGATACAAAGGATTTTTAGTTTGTTTGGTCCAGAATTTCAGTGTATTAGGAAACAGCCACACAGAACTTTCATCTGAGAATATCACATTGTCCCAGTTAATATTTCTATGCTGTAAGCACCAGTTCAACCTCCGCTCCTTTTGTTCAGGTTTCATGATCGGTGATGGAATTCCTCGACTTTTCTGCCAACCCATTGCATGCAGCTCAGTTCTAATTGTCTCCTTACAGACAGCCACAGTTCCTCTATCAATCATATCCAGCCTTAAGTTTTCTAAACTCCTTTGTTTGCTTTTAGAAACAAGAATACCAAGCCGCCTCCTGTCACCGACAGTCAATTTTCTGGGCCTACCTGCGCCTCCCTGGTGCTCAATGCCATATCCATTTGTAATATTTTTCAAAACAGGATAAACAGTGGACAAAGGGTGCCTGTTCTACTTGAAATCACTTTAGCTGATCTGATGTCCTTGTTATAATACTCTAAAATCAACTTCCTCTTCTCTAAATCATCCATACTGGGGATCACTGAAAATGCCTTCTGCTAGCAAGTAAACAAAGGGGGATAACTCTTCACAAACTAATGAAAAAGGATTAACAGAGTTGTGTCTCTTGAATGAAACCAAGCACTTGATAGCTGGTCAAGGTTGTTTATACTAAAAATCCAATTAAACATATTCCTAAAATTCTCAATAATTTCTGGTCATACTATAGAATTAGGTCTTCTAAGATGCCTTGACAAAGCCTGGCTACAAGCAAGGTTCTTATTACAGTAACAATGTTTATGTTTTATTTATCATGTTGTTGAACAGAGGCCATCATTATCGATTCCTTGAACTACATTCAATAGATAATCTGTAGTTTGTCAATCAATTGCATGAATTAGAAACATGATGCTGTAGAACTCCAAGGAGTATACCATGAGTCTTGCTAGGTTGTGTGAAGCTATGACTGTTTCTGGCCATGGTATATATGTTATATTGACACGTTATGTAGTTGTTTCTCAATTATAGGTGACAATGTGTATCTGCAAGTTAACAAATTTTCAAGTTGAAATATCAGATGCATAAAAATTTTGTAGAAAATTTCTTATTTTGATTTTGGCCAGTTTTTTAAATGTTGATGGCTATTGTGTATGCTCACCATAAGAGAGCATTGGCGGATAGAGGGGGTCGGGGGTGGTTTGGTTCAGGTTTCTCCCCCTTTTTGAAAATGACTTAAGACCACATTGAAGATTTTTTGGCTGGGTTCAAAAGCCCTATACCAAACACACACAGCCCCCCACTCCACACACCCCCCACCCCACACACCAAAATTCCTGGATCCCACTGGATGGAGAGACTAGACTAGGGTCACGTTCTCAATCCTACCTGCTTATCTGCTAATTTAACAGCATGATGTATCAAATAGTTATTGTTCACCCTTAATTTCACACAAACATATTTTTTTCACATATGGCTTTTGTTTGCAGTGTACACCAAGATTGGTGATAGACACTTTGTGCAGTTCATGGTCTCTGTGTAACAAGTCATTGACTTGAATATCATCAGATCAGCATTTTGCTCAAAAATATCCTTTCAACAAGGCATATATTTACTAACATTCCACAGTATACTAACCCCAGTATTTAAATGGACAGTCAATGCTGTTAATATGTTTGGCCAGATTATCACTGGCTCAGCTACCAATAAACATCAATATTCTGAAATGTCTGTTCAAGGTGCTGTATACATGTGCAGCAACAAACAGCTGATTTCCCTCATATATTCTTTGATACCCATATTTTGCATATCTGTGTTTATGAGTTATGAGAGATTCTGATTTATTTATTTCTGACATTATTTGAAGTTAGTGAATGATGTCTTGTAATTTTAATACAAGATTATTTCATCAAAGAATTGATTTCATGGTTACAGGACAATTCAGAGACATGTCTGATGTTGGGTGGTGTTTGGGATGGGTGGGTGGTCAACTCTCTTTGGAAATCATGTACAGTGAAACCTCAAGCAATACCGGTACCGCAATCTAATCCGCACACTGTCAAGACCGGCATTTTATTTCAACAAAATGTCTACATCAGTAATCCTTTTGATCATCCACAAGGAACAGGTACGTTATACACAAGCACATCTTTGCCTTGGTTATCAGCTTGAAATACGTTCCACCATTGTTTTGCCTGGGACAATGGCTGTTCCGCCTCCATTTGTTTTGCCTGACAATGGCTGTTCCACTCCATTGTTTTGTTTGCCTGACAAATGGCTGTTCCACCTCCATTGTTTTGCCTGACAATGGCTGTTCATACTCCATTGTTTTGCCTGACAAATGGCTGTTCCATCAAAATTCGACCGTTTAACCGGTGACTTGTTCCTTTGTTCTTAAAATGCAACCATTTTTCATGGACTTCCGTGCGCGGTGGCTCAGGCTCGGCAAGGCGTTGGCGCAGAGACATCGGTCGACGGTTTCCGGTTAACGAATGCCGCCGATTTTTGGAACCAAACAGCAGAAGCACGGCACCGGTGCTGGTACTTGAAACTTCGCCGGCACGAATTCATTTTATCTTTGAATGAAGCCCGGTTTCGCGTACGCAATATCGTATGTTGCATTTTGGTACTACCGTACCGTGACAAACTTTGCGACATGGCACTGGTTTCATACGTAAAAACTGCATGCAGCCAAAAGCTGCATTTTAAAAATAGATGAGACGTTTTTAAGTTTTATCACTAGACGCCTGAAGCGCTCTGTTTTGTTTCCCGGTTTTATTCAATGGCGGCAAAGGATCTTCGTAACGAAAACCATAACGCCTGAGCCGATGCCGCCGGAACATGGAATGAGGAATACGCGATGGAGCATAAAAAGGATGACCATTCAAAGTTTCTGACAAACATGTTTTGGGCCGGGGAATATGAATAAAGTTTCCACGGCAAACATATTACTGGAACCAGGGAGATACTTAAAAGACGGAATGAGATGAACTCCGACAGAAGCATGTGCAGATTGGGAATAAAAGATGAGCTCCAGTCGACAAAGCATCGACAGAGACAGGGGAATAATATAACAGCTCTCAGAACCGAAACCCAAAATCGTATTTCTTCGGAACTATCCATTTCGGGTGTCCGTTATAAGGGCGACAACAAACCAGAACACATTTTTATCCGGATTCCCCTGATTCCGTTTAATCAAACATACGGATACTATCGATGATGTTTATTCAACAATGGAAACGCAGCGAGATGGGGTAAAATCGGAATAACTAATATTCAAAGACGTCGTAATAATGAAACGTGCTGGATCGGGAGATGGTCGATACCGACGACGACGACTGGGCTGCGCAAAACTTTTAAACCATTTCTTCTTCGTCGACAGGGACTTCGGGATATGACCGCACCATCGATTTGAACCGGTTCTGGAAGCGAACCATTTCGGCTGCAAATGGAGCACACTTACCGTCGGTATATATGCGTTCCGGAAGGCCGCTGCGTTCATATGCTTCGTGAATCGCTGGTGTAGAACTTCGTTCAATACCTAGAATATACCGGCTGGAATATTATTCGATGCGGCTTTCTTCCGCTTTCGTAAGAACAGAAAACATATATCGGTATGCTAATGGAGTTGATTATGAATTGCTCGTACCTTATGGGTGCTCGATGGGGCAAATAACAACGCAAGGTGTAAAAGCCCATTACCGGTAACATTGATACGACGACAAACCGCCGCAGAACAACTTCAACGGGTTCAGGTTTACATTTTGATGAAACGCGATGAATCTTTCATCATTCTTCATGGAACAGAAAACTTTCAGCTTATCGTGAAACAACAGCAACTAACATGACGCATATTGCATATTCGTTCAAAAAATATCAATAATGAAGCGAACCGCCAGAAATGCAGATGCCCTCACGATTCATCGGACAGCGCTTTACCGCTTTCCATTCAAATCGCCATACGGCGGGGAACGAGCTCGAGATGCAGGCTTCACGGTGGCAGAACAGGATCAAAACGAAACGAACAGCTTTACGACTTACGGAGCTCCACGGCTTTCTTTCCGATTCCGTCACTTATATTTAAAACGCAAATTTCCGGGAGAAAATCACTCTCGGTACATCGTGGATAGCCATTACGCACCGAAATGGAATCTTTCCAGTACTCGATATCGACAAAACGATATAACAGAACATAGACGGTTGAATCTAAAACTTCATGCCGCCGAAGGTGCGCGCGGAAACGGTGACGCCATTTTCACCTAAACTGCAGCTATAATGGAACCGATTTTCGATCGCTCCTCGACACACCTCCGATGCGATTTTGTACCGTCCGGGCTGCTGGACTACGAAGTCAAAAGAACTTGATTTAATCCCCTTCACCCGCTTTATAAGTGAAAATATTCGCTTAGGGTTGGATACGGTAACGCAAAATAGACCATCAAAAATCCATAATGCGACAGGGATGGAACCGCGCACCCGGGCATGGAACGAGAATGGAACAGGCGGTGGCTGCCAGGTTCGGTAGGAGCTGGCGTAACGCCTACTGCGAAGCATACCGAAGCATGGCGGCATTTGGGAATAACGCACGAGAAATGGGCAAGGCGAGCTGCGAGATTTGAATGGAGTAGCTTCAAGCTGGCACAGTCGCGTGCGGTAACGAGTTCTTTTTCGTTCAAAATGGGCTATGCCAATGACATGAGTTCAGATTACTCGTTTATCATGAACCTTGCTGCTTGGCTAATTTTCACAGAAACAAAATCCAGTAAATAAATCTCTTCTAGGCTGTTTTGGGCCTTGTACATATCCGCAGTAGGAAGTTGTGATTCATCATTTATTCACTAGTGCTCAAAGAGAAGTGTACAGTGTGTGTTTGGCTAAACTTGAAAAAGATAAAAGAAGCATATATACTAAAAGTACAGGAGATGGAAATCGTCCTATATTTGTTGTTGGTACGGGAATGCCGATCACCGATGGATGCATACGCGCTTTATGCCTCTTTTCCATACCTCCTCCGGTTCGACAATTTATGCATATCCCCAATGAGTTTGTTTTATGGCTTCTGTACAGAGCAAACCCTAAATCATCGGCTGTAAAAGCACGTGTTCCTAAAATATGGTTCAGTGAAAAGACTGCTGTCCTTCGTCCCAATTTGTTAAATTTAAATTGAGTACAAAGGACTCATTAAATTACACGTTTTAATACAATCTCTGTTTTAAATATTCAATAGCTTCGGGTTGAACTTTTATAAGAAGATGACACTGATCATTGGCCTTCATGTCTCTTCGGAATACGGTGATATTCTGACTATTCCTGTCCATTCGGTGCCTGACGGGAACACCCTTGATTGAATAGACGACCGCGTTTGAATGGTTGGGATGGTTGCTTTGGGCCCACGTTGGAATGAGCAGCACCAGCCTGTTGAGATTTAAATGCGTTGAGTTAGAGCTTTAGTTGTGAGGAATGATTTCAACTTTCCAATAGTCAACTTTCCATTCATGTCGAGCAATATTCCAACAGCTCCAGCTTTTGGCGTTTACATTTCACAACTTTCTAGGTAGAATGGAGCCTTCTCTTTTTAACAATATTTCAAAGAGCCTCATGTCACTCTTGCTCAGAAGTTGTTCGATGACAGTTACAGCATTCGAGCTCTCAGTAAAGCTTTCAAAACATTTTCTGGTAAACATGTGGAGCATCCGTTGAATCATCAGTGACAAAAAATGATGTCCGATGCGACTCTCTATTTGGACTTGTACCATACATTCCCAAATCACGTGAGGTGAACAATTGACTAGACTTAGCATGTGTTTATGACTGGTGCTACCGGTGGGGCTGGATACGCTCACCTCTTCGCTAACACCTGGTGTCATCACAATTTCACAGTGATTCATAGACACACTGTCTGCCATCGTATCGCTTGGTGACAATCACTCGAAGATTTTACTGTGTATTTAAATTAGCACTAAAGGGTTGTCATGGGAAAATGTTTAATGTACTTAGTATATGTATTCATCAGTTAAATCATGTGTGAGATCAAACTAAAAAAGAACGAGTAACTTTATCACATCAACAGGTGTTCGACAAGCATGTATTCTAAGTCCTATACTATTCACCTTTTTCATAAATGAGCTTGTGACTGAAATGTATGATAAATGTGATCACGGTATGTTTGTTACACAAAATATTTATGAGATAATGCCACTTTTGTTTGACGCTGATGTTACAATGTTCTCTTTTACCGTTTCAGGGTTACAAAGACAATTACATATGCTCCAGTCTTTCTGTGAAGGATGGGGATTTGATTTGGTCAATTTAAATAAAACCAATGTTATTGTATTAAAAAATGGAGACATTGAAGCTAAACTGAAAGGTGGGTTCTAAACTACGAAAGCCTAATGCTGCCACTTTTGTAGCACAAATATTTTTTTTCTGCTACAATTCTTGTTGCTTCGATTATGTGCTCGTTACTTCGAGTATTTTCTCGTTTTTTCAATAATTTTCTCGTTATTTCAATAATTTTCTCGTTACTTCGAGTTTTTTCTCGTTGCTTCGAGTATTTTCTCGTTACTTCAAGTATCTTTCAAAACTTGAAATTTCAAGTATTTACTCGTTACTTCGAGTATTTTCTCGTTACTTCAAGTTTCTATCAAAAACTCGAAATTTCAAATATTTTCTCATTACTTCAAGTTTCAGTCAGAAACTTGAAATTTCGAATATTTACTCGTTGCTTCGAATATTTTCTCGTTATTTCAATTATTTTTTCGTTGCTTCGATTAATTTCTCGTTCCTTCAAATTTCTTTCAAAAACTTGAAATTTCAAATATTTTCTCGTTGCTTCAAGTTTCTTTCAAAACTTGAAATTTCGAGTATTTACTCGTTGCTGCAGTATTTTCTCGTTACTTCAATTATTTTCTTGTTGCTTCGATTAGTTTCTCGTTGCTTCGAATATTTTCTCGTTGCTTCAAGTTTCTGTCAAATACTTGAAATTTCAAATATTTACATGTTATTTCAAATTTATATCAAAACTTGAAATTTCAGTATTTACTCGTTACTTCAATTATTTTTCGTTGCTTCGATCAACTTCTCGTTGGGAGTACCTAAAGCTCGGGCCAAGAAAAGTCGGGCCCGGTCGGGTCACCGGGTACTACTAAAACTGGATTGCAGAATATTAAACAGAAATCTACATTTGGGGAGAAACACTTCCTGCCATCACAAATGTATAGTTTGATTGAAAATGTAAGTTTAACGATGAAATAAAAAGAAAACTATGACTACATACTAAGAGTCACGTAAAAAAGACACCGTCTTGTTGTTATATGTTTCCCTTGATATGTCTATGTGAGAAGGTTACTTACTTC